GATACTGTTTTTGAGAAACTTATAAGTTTAAAATGTAATGGTCATTTGCTTTAAAGAGAATTGATTTGAAATTATAATGTAATCGTAATATAATTAGATTACATTTAGTCATGCATATGCAGTAATAGTAATAGTAATAATGAAATTAGTGGAGTAATGGTAATAGTAATATATTACATTTACATCTACTAAACATGTAATTGTAATAGTAATAGAATTTTTTTCTAGTTAATAGTAATAGTAATATATTACTTTCTAATGTAATTGACCCCATGTCTGGTATACACGTACATGTATTTATGAATTACAGTGCATGTACTACATTGTAGATGTATGAGATTTTATGCTGACATATTTCTATGTGAAAATGTTTTTGTTATCTTCTTTGTTTTTTCTGTTGGACTCTCATCTTTCCCCTTTCTATTAATTTTTTCTCCAGGTTGTTGGTCTTAATGTCTCATCAGCCACTACCCCTGAGCTATTATTAAAGAGGTTTGATCATTACTGTGAGTACAAGAGGACTCCCAATGGAGTTGTGATGGCTCCTTCTCAACTTGGAAAGTGGCTGTTTCTCTTCTGTGACGAGATTAACCTTCCAGACCTTGACAAATATGGTAAGGAGTATTGATTTTACAATAAAATTAGTGAATATAAAGTTATAACAAGCTTATGTGAATCCATTCAATCCAAATACACTTTAGAGAGATATCATTCTCTTTTTTAATGTTTCATTAAAAATTCTTTTTTCTAATTAAAGGTACTCAGAGAGTAATATCGTTCTTACGTCAGATTGTCGAGCACAGTGGATTTTACAGAACCTCCGATCACACGTGGGTGACAATAGAGAGGATACAGTTTGTAGGAGCATGTAACCCACCGACTGACCGGGGAAGGAAACCACTGTCTCACAGGTACAGTATGCTGTAGTGGGCATTGAATACTGTATTATTTGGGAGGGATGCATTTTGTATTGCAGTATACCATATAGCACTTTAATTGGGCGTTTTATTATTTTGGCAATTGGCAGTCTGCAAGCGGAATCGTCAATGTTAAAGTGTAAGTGCAGTGATTTTTTAGGGTATTTATTTTATGGTCTTAATATGATTGCCTGACCATAATAATGATGTGTTCCAACTCCCATTGTCTAAAAAAATTATTCACTGAGATATGAGCCTTCAAAGATGCACTTTTTGCTTCCTGCCAATTCACTTCCTGTCCGTGGGTGTGGCTAAACGTGACGTCATAAGAGGCATTGATGCAGATAACTCCATTCCTTTATAGGGGGAAATGATCCTTTATTCTCATGCCTAGTAATGTAATATCACTAATTTAAAGATTGGGATCATTACCTTTCATTATTCTAAGCATG